CTATGGAACTAAACTCACTTGGGTAAGTTTGTGCTGTTTCATTTCTGCAAGGGATAGCCTCTACCCATTTAGTAAATCTGTCGACCATCACTAACAAGTATCTGTATCCTTTTGTTCTGTTATCTGCTCCCATGTCTGTGAAGTCAATAGTGATGTCTTGGAATGAAGCTTCTGGTGCAAGAAATTTTCCCATTAGGCACCTACAGTATATGCTGACTTTGGGTTGTGACTATTACAGGTATCACAATCAATGACATTATTCTCTAACATAGCTGTCATGTGGAGATGCCACCAGCTAGTCTCAATGTTGCTCTAAACCCAGGTGGACTGGACCGTACAAGGTAACTGAGTGTACATCACACGCGGTTCAGGTAAAAGGAAAGGCTGGAGCTAATTGGCACCACCTGACACATTGTGTACCTGCCCCACCGCCCTGTCGCACATTAGGAGAGGTTAGGACTGATTTGGCTGCAGACAGTGAGGGCTCTAAATCTTAGAATCAATTTTGATTGTGACAACTTGTTGATAATAGCCCTCTAAGGAGCCATGGAAATATCTACCAGATGACCATGGCATCCATTTAGACACCCTGGCCTTTGTGGCCTAAGGGGAACACTATTGGTCTTTGTCTTACTTAGTCTGATGATCGCACTTCCAATTATATTGTGGGAACAAACTCAGACATCAAAAAAATTCAGTTAACATAATTACGTCAGCTACCTCAAGAGATTTCAGGCCTTTGATCCGCAACAAAAGCACCGTGACCACTCACAATGAAAAGGATCCTCCTCCTAACCAGATGCCCCTGCTAGGTGAAGTTAAGAAGCTGGACTCTTGTGAGAATGAAGTGGACTTTGGGGTAAACTGGAAGAAGGAGTCCTTTCGGGCCTGGTTGGCTCGTGGGACTCCTGAGACAGCTGAAACGTACCGGCAGGCAAAGCGGGCTGCAGCCCGGGTGGTTGCGGAGGCAAAAACTCGGGTCCTGGGAAGAGTTCGGTGAGGCCATGAAGAGGGACTATCGGTCAGCCTCGAAGAGATTCTGGCAAACCAGCGCCTCAGGAGGGGGAAGCAGTGCCCTGCCAAAACTGTTTACAGTGGAGGTGGGCAGCTGTTGACCTCAACTGGGGACATTGTCGGACGGTGGAAGGAATACTTCAAGGATCTCCTCAATCCCGGCGCCATGTCTTCCGATAAGGAAGCAGAGGCTGAGGGCTCAGAGGTGGACAGCTTTCATGCCATTACAGCTGGCCTGCTGAGATTATACGTGGGGTAAATAGTATTTACCCAAGTTGGTTTACACCTCTTCAGGTGTAAAAGGAGGGTAAATCGGTTAGAATTTTCATTGTCTATATTTCTGTTTTTACTACATTTCATTTTCTATATTTCTATTTTTTACTACACACTTATGAGCAGAACAATTGGTTACATTTAGGAGACTTATTATACAATACATGTTGACTGTTGTTTAATCTTTGTCCTATGATTCATTATGTCTGTTTTTGTCTACAATCTGGTTCACTGCAGGCCATCATGGTGATCACCCAAAAGGAGTCCTATGTAGGCGGCTTTCCCCATAATTCACCATCATGGGGTTTTTCCGTCTCTGAGGATCCAGGGGGTTGTGCCAGACAATTTTTCCCCACTGGGGTTTTTTCGTCTGCACCGCAGTGACGTTAAGAATAATGAGAAATCTATTAAAGATGAAATGATGTGTTTGCATTGAAGCTGTGTGTCCAACAGTACAGACAATTGTGTGTTATGAAGCATGAGGGAAAGAACCATCTTGTTCCGTCTCATTTTCATTTATATTTCTACTTTAATTTTCATTTCATGTTCATGTTTTATTTGCAGTATTGGGTAAAATGACCAAAGGTGTGAAGGTTACAAGTTTCAGGTCATAACGGCTGACCTGTAAAAGGAGTGAAAAAAATAAGGAAACACATACTGAACTATATCATAAACCCACTCAAGTAATTTTCTTTGGTTACAAGTTACTACAATTGTGTTTGAGTTCATTTTGTTAGATTCCCCTGTGATGACCTGGGACCGGAGATGTCAGCTGATGGCCTGGATGGGCCCAGTAACGGTCAAAAGTCACAGCTCATACAGAGGATGAGTTTTTTTCTATGTTTTCACATTTATGTCTTATGGAACTGTCATGAGTTTGAGTCACCAGTAAATACTTTTATAATGTTTTGCTTATAATTAGGTCACATTGGTTTACACCTTAAAAGGTGTAAAAGGAGGGATTTGTTAGGGTGATTTTCATTTTACGCACTTATGAATGGTTTTATTTTATAGCACACATAAGTTTACATATTTATATGTCAGTTACGTTTACATAGTTATATGTCACCCTATGTGTTCACTGAACGACTGGTCAGTATTTACTGTGTTAGTCACTGAAGCACTGTTCAACATTATAGGGTCTTGTCCACAAAATTACTGAATCTCATTAGATTTACAGCTCTGGCTAAGGGAGTCCACAGTGAATTTATTATCACCACCGAGCTAGTGGAGCCAGGGGAGATGCTGGGTTCACTGGGACTCCAAGGTTAGTGAAACAAAGATTAGATCTGGAGGCTAGCAAAGGAGAAAGCTTCAAAGGTAGAACCATTATGCACCCACACACACATGGGCAGAACAGTTTTAATTAGTGAAACAGAAAGCAATGCCTAATATGGAGCAGATAGTTGGAAACAAAGGAAGAAGTGAGTGTGTATGTAGAAATTAAGGCAGTATAAATATTCTTCCCCTTCCTAAGG